GAATAAAACATTTCGAGTTTAGTTTGTTTGTTATAATCCATGGATTTCATTTAAAATAGTGCAACGTTTCACTGAAATGCTCAGTTCACTAAAATGTTATATTTTCAGAACTCGAGCTGCTAAGCAAAAACTAATGCTATATTTGAATTCAGGGCATTGATATGAAATAACATCAAAAATGGCACACAAACCATTGTTGACCAGTGTAATATATGAACTTAATATAGATACTGTGGTAGTAAGTTTTTATGGTCTTTTAAAACTGATATGGATACTTTTTGATTTCCCGGGCACGAGTGAAAAGTCACCACAAAATTTAGACCTCTGCCGATTTTTTATAGTTATATTAATATATAAGCACATAAAAATTAAATAAATCAAAAAAATTTTAATAAATAAAAACAAATTAAAAAGAATTAAAATTTAAGAAATAGTTCCTTGACTTTTTCGAATTTCCTTGCACCTGGCTAATCGAAAAGTACCCGGATAAGTACCATTTTTTTTGATTTAGAGACCTTTATTTTCTACTTGTACTAAAATCAGCAATGCAGTAAACGTAATGAAAATTTTAAATATCACTATTCATCTCTTATAAGCAGTCGCTAAAGTAAAGCAACATTTACATTAACATTTTATAACCCATTTCCTCATAAATAACATTATCTTCACTAAACTATATGTGTTGAATATTAGCTCTTAAAAAGAAGTTTAGTTATGTAGAATTTTTGTTGCAAGAAGTGAGAGCAATAAGTAAGGAATTACAGAAAAACTGAGTGCCACAACTTAAATTTGGCGATCACTAGAGCAAAAAAACTAGGTGTTGCTTTTTTTTTTCTTCTTAAAAATGGGCCTGCGTTTATCTACTACTTGTACTAAAGAATCAATTTTTACGTTCATTTTCTATTTATAATCAGCACTCGCCAAATTTGAAGCATAAACAATTCCCTTGAGCTGTGATGGCTCAGGAGATAGTGCATTCGCCTTCCAATGAGGTGAACCGGGTTCGAATCCCGGCAATGTCTGGTCGATACGAATTCCGCAAACAGCTTGCACCGACCACAGCGTTGACGTGAAATATCCTCAGTGGTAGACTGTTTATGGGTTAGAGTCCCCTTGCCGTCAGGATAACCGTGGAAGGTTCTCGTGGTCTTCCTCTCCACGTAACGCAAATGCGGGTTAGTTCCATTAAAAAGTCCTTCACGAAAGCAAATTTCTCCTACTACTTGATCCAGGAGTTCCCTTGTCTTCTGGATTGGGTTCAAAATCTAAACTACGTAGCTGAACATTAATATTCGTAAACCCAAAAATTGGGTCAGCTGTTCAACGAAGGTTATAAAAAATAATAAATAAATAAGTAAATAAATGAATAAAAAACAATTCCCTTAATCATCGATTGCTTTTTTTTAAATCAGAATCTTCACTGAATCTAAATTTCGAAAAAAGTTGTTTGAACAAATGCAATAAGGCCCAGAATTTTATTTTATGGGGCTTAAATAATAACATGAGCTCTAAAAAAGCCCACCCACAATAATGAACGATAATAATGACAACGAAAAACTTTAAAAAGAAAATTAATAATAATATAAAAAGTTTAAAAAAAACAGAAAGGGACCAACTCGAAAGGTATCTCTTAACCACTCCGGGCAAATATTTAATTTATTATTATTTTTTTTTTAAATTGCAAGTTTAAAATCTATTTGGCACCTTGGCGAATCTAGTTGGTGTCACAGATCAAGGTACGGAAATCTCCCCTATAGAATTATGTAAAACCGATATTTTTATTTTGTTAAAAGATAAAACTCTTAAATCCCATGTGTGCATTACGTTAATAAAATCAAACATAATACTTATAAATACCATATAATGATAGTAATTAAATGTCATATGTTAAATTACCTTCAGTAAAAAATCGAAAGTGGGCGTTGCCTTAAAAAGCAGCTTGAATCAAGAGTGCTTGTTTGTGCAAAATAAAACTTCACTACACTCCTCGCAATAATCATTCTAGTGGCAAAAATTCGTATATGAGAATTATGCAGATGAGATAGACCCAGCATAACGTGGGTTCGGAATCTTTTACGAAAAAAAAAAAGCAAATTTTCTTGAGTGGGCTCGAACTCATGATAATATTTTCATAAACTTTTATACTACTTGTAAACAAACATTTGGTTCAATTCTTGAATATAAAGAAAGTAAAATTTATAAGGTATAAAAAAATTACTGAGTTCTCGTTACTTCTGTTCGGTGCTTTATGTTAGTCAGGCTAACGTTTAATGTCAATTTAGAAATGATTTTTATTTACTTCAAGATTTTGATTTTCTTTTTTTTAATTCTCGTTTGAGTCATCTTGGAGCCAGTCGTTTCTCTTCACGTCTTGTTTTACAGGTTAATGATTTAAAAAAAAAAACGTTTTAATGACCGATTTTCTTGTTTAGACATCAAATGATAATTTGGCCTTTATCTGACGTATATTTTGAACTCTTTTAAGTAATTCTATATATCTCATGCTCAGGTGGCCTTGGATTAAAATTCTTTTGGCTCTGGTGGGTTCGGACCTTCGAAAGCAAGATTGAGCTCATCTGTAATGAGAGACCTTTTTCTGCAATTTCTTCTTTATATGCCACTCATTCGTTTTTTCCCCGCTCTGACATTTGAAACTAAGAACTTTCCAATCGGTCAGCAATTGAATTACACAGGTTTTGATTGAAATCTAAGGAGTTGTTTCCCTTCATTCATAAAACGTGAGGGACGAAGATCCCCCCCAACTCCCCAGTCCCCCAAGAAGATCCAAAAAATATTAATCTAAGGTTTCTAATGTGTGTTACTGAGAACATTTCACATGAGAATTAATCTTATTCTAAAAATAATTTAAAATATTCAGATGTTTACTATTAAAAAGTTCTACTAATTAAGTTCTTTTTCACCCGCAATTGTTAAATGAATTAAACTCACTGATTTATATTTGTATGAATTGGTAGCTATGAGCTGTGAAAAATTACTGATTTTACAAGAAAACATAACTCTAACTTATTTTAATTTAAAATTACGTGATAACAATCAGAAAATTAATCTGTCTGTTTTATAATCTTAGTTTATCATATCTGACATTCCTCTCAGTTTTGAAGTTTCGTTTGTTTATCAATATATCGATTTTCAATGAATGTCTAATAAGAACGAAAGTCATGGTTCTAAATATTGTCTGTTAATATTCTCAACTCTATATAAATTTTATACATATAAAAACAAATTTAAAGTATATTACAATTGTCATTTTTTTAGATATATTGGAGAAATAAAGTGAATGGAATGTTAACTGAACAATCGTGCATGAATCTATAAAGAGGCTCATTTCTCAAGGAGATGAAGAATCACTTGAGTGCTTGTGTAAATTGCTGAAAACTAAGGGTAAAGAATTAGATGATTGAAAAATTAAAGGTTCAAAAGAAAGTGTAAGTGTTCTTTGTTTTTATTTTGATCTGTGCTTTTACTTCTAATAAAATGTGAGGAAAAGTTTTCTTGTAAATAATATAAGTTTATAAAGACAGCTTATCTTCAATTCAAGTACTTTTTGTTTTTGTAAAAGCTTATTTAAACGCATACTTTCAGATTCATCGAACAATAAATCTTTAGCAGATTAAAATCTTTATAAGATTTTCTGATCCAATTTGGAGGATTTCTAATAATTAGTAGTGATTTTTAGATTTGAACAACATTTTTGTTATGGTTTGCATAAGTATTAATTTGTTATGTGTCTTAATTTTTTTTGATTTCATTATTTGTGAGGATTTTATAAATATAAATTCTACTTAGTTGCAAATATCGAAAACTATTATAACATTACCACTATAAATTGTAACACAATGTATATTCAACTCGGCTTCTAATAAATTTTAAGGAATTACTGCCATACTTTTCTTCTGTAATGAATGTAATTGTGACACACCTTGCTAATAGTACTGAATTTCTATTTAATGTTTTTTTAAGTTTTTATGGTAAGTTTCAGTTTCTTTTTATGGATAATGAAAATTTTACTTCACTATATTGTGACCTTGAATTAAATTATCTTATTTGAAATTCCAGACAGTTGTTAAGGTATCTATATGCATTTAAATAACTTAACCATTATTATTAACCTTTCTGATGATCTTCTTAAAATAGTAATTATTTATATTTTGGATTTTGCTATCCTATATTACTATATTTAATATGATGCAAAAAATTTTACTCATTAGAATTCAAAAATTTATTCTATTGATTTAAATTACCAACAATGAGTTGAAATTGTTTGCTTCAATTTTTACCAAAAGGAATTATATAAACTGGTGTATTTGATTTTCATAATCTGTTATTGATGTAATACATGTTGTAATTAAACATATTTTAGCATATTTTCTCTTATTTTAAACCCATATTTTGGGAATCTCTCTTTTTCAGATGGAAAATCATTTCTTACAAAAGCAAAAGATAGTAGACAAACATTTAACTAGCTCTAGGGTCAGGTTCATGTTGTTATAATTATGTTATAGATTTAAAAAGGGTAAGTCATCAAATACTATACCCTATCAAATAACCATACTTTAAGTTTTGTTTGAGGTTTAAAATTTAGCATTTAAATTCATTTTTGTCTCTTAGAATGATTGGGTTCTACGGAACATGTCCTTCCAAAACAGGGTACCTGATCGTAGTTATTGATGTAATATTTATTGTAATTAACCATATTTTAGCAAACCATATTTTCTTAAACCATATTTTCTCTAAATGCTTTATTTTCTCTTATTTCAAACCCCTATTTTAGCAATCCCTTTTTTTTTTCAGATGGAAATGTTATTTTACACAAATGCAAAAGATAGTAGAGAAACGTTTAACTAGCTCTAGGGTCCGGTTCATGTTGCAAGATGTCATAAATTTAAAAAGGGTAAGTCATTAAATACCCTATAAAATTACTATACTCTAAGTTTTGTTTTAGTTTGAAATTGAGTATTTAAATTTTTTTTTGTGTTTTAGAATGATTGGGTTCCTAGCTAAGATGTAAATAATCCTAAAACCATTGACCGAATTCTCAAGGAAGCTGAAGGTGAAGCACGTGGACAACAACAGAATCTACAGAGCATGTCCTTCACAGAAAAAGTAAAAAGTGTATTAAACTTGAATTTCCCTTTTTTTAGGTATTCAAATAAATGCTGAAAAATTTTAGTCAATGTCTTAAGTTCAAAAGTATACAAATATGAATTTTAAGTAAAAATGAACGCTTGTAAAGGAGTGTTTAAGGTAAGTCATTTCGTTAAAATGAATAATGCGAGTAGTTCTCAAAAAAGACAGTAACAAAGTTAATCGATCGAACAAAAACATAAACTCTTCTCCTTTAAAACATAAAGCAAGATATAAAATTAAAAATATGTAAAGATACAATTTCTAATAATGTGGAGCAAAATGTACGATTTTGGATTATTCTTTATTAAATCTATACCCCTCCTTAAAAAAACAGTCTAAAATTACTTTTTCAAATAATACTCTGCTGAATATTAGGCCAAACGAATATTGGGCAAAAAGGCCGAATGCTGTATATCCTGTGGCAGAATCGCAGCGACACAGCGCTGAACGTTACAGAGTTCTTGCAGAATGATTTTTCTTTTGAAAAGTAATTACTTTTCTTCAGAAGTTTACACGTAATATTTGACCTTTATGTTCCGATTGTATTCTTTGGAGTAATTGATAATGATTTTCACATGGATTTTAAATATCCCGATATATTTCAAACAATATGGAAAATTCGAATCGCGCATTTGAGTATATAGTTTTTTAAGGCAACGATTCTATCAAATTTTGTGACCGGTTATTGCTATTTATTTTTACCATGGTTTTTAAATCCGATGGTTTTTATACAATCTATATATATATATATTTCTCTTACACGGCGACAAAAAAAAATCCTCATTACAACTCCCCGAATGGCAACGCTAGAAAATCGACCAATGATTACCGCTAAAAATGTCACATGCCAATTCTAGCTGAAGTGACTCAACATATAGCGCTTTTAAAAACGGAAACGGAAATAACCAGAGTGTAAAATATTATGTGCTTATGCGCATCGTATTTTTTGTTAAATAATTTATTTATTATATATGAGTTTATAGATGGTAACGAGAAGAGTTTTGTGGTTGCTATGGTGACTATTTAGAATGTAAATTGTTTTTTTTTGTTTTTTTTTTTGAGTGAGTGTGATATTTCTTTTTTGGAACTGCGATGCTGTAATTTTATTGTTTAGTTAATAAATCTTCCTTTTATATTAAACGTGATAGTAGTTTCCTTAATTATTTGATTCGAAGTCCTTGGAGTTTTATTTGAGGTCAGTTTATTTTGTATTTTTTGACAAGAGAGAGCATTCTCACCAAACGAGATTTCTTCCGAAATTCAATGTTTTGTTTATGCAGGGTTTTTCCATTGCAATTTCTCTTATTTAAATTTTTAATAGACTTAATTATAGCCAAAATTTTAACCTTTTTAAAGAGATATCAGTTTTAGAAATTTTATCTTAAGATTTTATACTATAGCACATTTCTAATAGGTTTAACGAATTACATGTCATTTATTTGAATTCAAATTTATTTTAATGTCTTAGTATTTACTAAAAAGATGTAATTTTTTTGAAAAAAAAGTTGTTATATGGATTTGAATGATTGTTTTGAATTCTTAGAATTTTGTTCATTTGCAATGAACCTAAATCAGTAGCGAGTGAAGCGATCTTGGTTTGCTAAGCAAACCATATAAGATTGCGTAGCAATTTTCGGGCGTTGGCGAGCGTTAGCGAGCAGGGGGCGCAGCCCACTAGCATTATTTTTTACAACAACCTAATTTCGAAACGAAACACGCATTTGCGAAGTCCTATTAGTGCGATTTCATATAAGATTGCGTAGCAATTTTCGGGGGTTGGCGAGCGTTAGCGAGCAGGGGGCGCAGCCCACTAGTATTATTTATTACAACAACCTAATCTCGAAACGAAACGCGCATTTGTGGAGTCCGATTAGTGTGATTTCGTTGTCAATCTTCTTTTTCCGACAATTACCACTATGAATTTCATGATTTTTATTTATTTTGTTTTACTGCGATGATTCTTTACAAAATGCGAAGAAAGAAATAATTTGTGCGTTCCTCCTCCCTCCCCACCAACAAAATGCGAGAATATCAGAATATTATTAGAATAAAAATTATATATAAAATATTATATAAGAAAATATTAAATATTATTAAAAAATTATATAAAATAAAAATTATATGTAAAAATAATATTATCAGAATATTATTAGAAGAATATTAGAGCAAAAAATTGTTACATGTTCAATTAAAAAAAAATTTATAGTTTTTTTTCTTTGTAAACACAGCGCTTTTATTTCTTTAAATTAGTGACATATATGTTTGTTATTATTGAAAGTATCTTGCAGAAAGATATTAGTGCAAGAGAGTTTTGTCGCAAATAGCTCGAAAAAATTCTGCCCCGGAGACTGTATAGTGACTAAATGTTCGTTACATCCTCAGACACAACTATTTCCTCATGTAAAAAATATTTTGAATAAATTGTTAAATATTAACATTCTGAATAAAATTTCATTGTATGACGAAATTTTATGTAAGAAAACTATTTTTTGTAGATTGACTCCACTTATTAAGTAAACTACATATTATTGCAATCATACTATTTCCAACAATATACTAAATTATACTAAAAAAATATTTTTTCAAAGATTTTTTATATTGTGAAACATTGTTTATTGTAGGCTTTGCTGGGTTTTCAGGTGGTTTACTATACCTCGGTCAGACGTTCTGTTGTTGTTATTTATGCCAATACCAACAGTGGAAAACCATAGGAATTTCAGGCTGAGTGTCTTGTTTTTCAGCGGTGCCATCTGTGGCCAGGAATAAGATTTTAGCCACATACCTGTCACAGCCGATTTTTGTCAGGGAGGACCCATTCATACTCCATTCATTCATCCACAGAGATACTGATTTGTTTTGGGACCTCCGAGGACTTTGTGACCCTGAAAAAGTTTTGGTGCACCAGCTACCATTTAATACACAAGATTCTTCAGCCCACAGGATTCGATCTTACGGACACGAGCCAAACATCCTTCCAACCTGGCTATTTCCGCTTGTTTTCTTCTATATTTTATTTTTTACGCTTAAGTTAAATCAAATATTCAGAATAAATGCAGTCCATTAAGCTCAATAATTATAGTTAAACAATGTAATTTATTCAGCTGAAATAACATTTAATTGCATTCCTGATATCACACATTAGATATCAGGAATTAGTATAAAGGTGAGATCATACTTATTAAGGTTGTACTTTTATGATTAGCGAATTACAAGTAAATCGCAATATTTTAAGTAATTGCAAGTAATCAAGTAAATCGCAATACAGCTGTAAATCCTACTGTATTTTACAATATTGTCAGTCCTTCCTGTATAAATTAATGTTTTAATGACTCCAGAAATGCTTTGGGAAAAATTAAGTGATTTGATTACAAGATAGGATCTAAGCAAGAAAATTGTCTATTGTTTGATATTTAGTCACCTGAGTCTACTCGTAATTATGCTCTTACTTTTCTACTAAATTAATACTGTGGTTTTTTTCTGTTTTATTTTTTTAGCTTTTTAAATATTTTTGTTCGTTTCAGTTTATTCTATCAAAGCTTTGATTAAGATTAATAATTTTGTTATACTGAGATTAAATTAGAACTATTGCATTTGATGAATCAAAAACTCACCTCACTAATGAAAGAATGTGTTGCTGTTCTGTTTGTATGTTCTAATATTCAATTAAACACATTCTGTTAAAAATTTCTCTCCTTCCTTATCATTCATGTTGATTATAACTTCTCTGTGTTTTATCACATTCTTAAAAATTAATACACAAGTTAGTCATACTTATAAGTTCATTAAACCTTCATCCTAGAAGAATATATAACAGCTTTTTGTGCTTATCTGTCTGGTGCAGGTTTTACTTGCCTTTGAAATAGTTTTTTAAGTAAAAAATTTAAATGTTTTAAATATTCATTTGTTCACTTTTGTCTAAAGTCGAAATTACATTTTTTTGAATTTTAATTTTTTAAAATTTTTACTCTATAGGTAGGGTCGATGTAAAATTTAACTAAGTTAAAATATACAAGTTTGTAATACAAATAATGATGTTAATTTTTTAAAATTATTAATAGGAAAAAGAGGAACTTAGAAGAAGTGTCCAAGGAATCTTTAATAAACTCACACCACAGAAGTTTGAAACTCTATTGACTCAAATCAAAAATCTTAACATCGACACTGAGGAAAAACTGTGGGCAGTCATTAATTTAATATTTGAGGCAGCTGCGGCAGAGGCAAACTCCAGCGTCCCCTATGCAAACATGTGCAAGCATTTGGGATTGGTAAGTCAACTAATTTTGAATAAAATGATTGTAAAATGTGTTGAGGTGTATATTAATTTATCTGTTTTTTAAATAGATTAAAGTGCCCACTAAGAATAAGGACTATGTGAATTTCCATAAAGTTCTCTTAAAAAAGTGCCAGAGAGAATTCGAAAAGGGTAGGAGTGATGAATTGAAACACGAAAGGCTCTGGAAGAAGCTGCTCCAGTGAGTTAAACTAATGTAATAAGCTATAAAAACTGTTTTCCCAAGCAATGGCGGATATTTTTAGGTAGTTTACAATTAATATCCATACTCATTTAAAATTTGTTCTGTTGTAGGAAGAAAAGAAAGAATTAGAGCAAGAAATGTATGATGAAGATAAGATGAGATATAGGCAGCTTGGCAATCCAAGGTGATTATTTCATACACTGAAAAAGTTATAACTTATATATTTAGTGTATATTAAAATAGCCTTAAGAAATAAGATGTAAATCTCTAATAACTAAAACTATATATAACTTCATTTTATATCTTACTAATTGCTAAAAATAAGAACAAATATTTGTGTTATTTTGTTTAAAAGATTCTATTTTTTTTTCTTTTTTAATATTTGAATTACCATGACCTAAATGCTAAATATAAATTGTTTCATAGTGTTAAGAGAGTAAAAAGCGGTTTCAATAATATAGTTTTTTTTCTCATTGCAAATTTGATGATCACATAGTGAAATATTATAATAATTTAAAATCTTATCTAGTTTTCAGCTATATATTTTAAATAGCAATTAATATTAAAAAATTTGACAATATTTGATATTAAGTAAAATGTAGATCAGAGGCCAATACTATGCTGTAAAGTCTCGATAATTCGGGGTGGACGGCACCGAGCCTACCTCGAACTTTCGAAAACTCGAATTATCGAAAATTTCAAACTTAAAAATTTAAATAAATGGAAATAAAGCAATTTTTAAATTTTAGTATTCAAGTGAAAGATATATTTAAAAAAAATTACTTACATTAGATGATCAGAGTACTTTTACTGCATTGCAGCAATACTTTTACTGCATTACACCCACCCAGGCGGGTTGGGTTTTTTCTAAAATACCCGGTTTTTTTCAAACCCTGTTTTTACTGCATTACACCAAGTTACAATATTCATTATATTATGAATCAGGTTCATTGTATTTTAAAATAATTGTCTAATGTTTTGTTTAAAAACATTCCTCATATGTTTCAGTGTTTAATACACAAATTTGTTTTTCAAGATTCAGTCGTGGTTAAGTGTTGTGTGTGCGTGATTCATTGTTTAGGAACAAGACTTATTTAGCTCAGATTTATTTGAAACTCGAACAATCGATACTTCTGTAATTGTAAACTTTTCTTGCTTTTTAAAGAAAACCATATTTTTTATGCTTTTTGGACACCTGAAAAATTGACAAATTTCAAATTTTTATTACAGTTTATTGAAAACATTATAATTATTTATTATTTATAGTTTTGTGACTAAAAGGAAACTCTATTTTCTACTTTTACTTTTACAGAATTTTATTTCCTAAAGCAATTAGTCCTAAAAACTTTTTAAAGAGGAATACTTCACATAAAAATGGATATAAAAAAAACGTTCAGATGTAAAATATTAAAAAAAACTTATAGTTCTTTTTCATCTTATGATTTTTTTTACCTGAAACCTATCTGATTGACTATATGTATTGGTGTATCTAAATGATATTAAGCAAAAGCACATTTCACATAAGAATTAACCATATGCTAAAAGTAATTTAGGTTTTTTATAAGTATTCAGATTTTTGTATATTAGAAAGCCCTCACCCGCCATTGTTTAGTGAATCACCTCACTGACTGCTATTTGTATGCATTGGTGGCTATGAACTATGAAGAATTATTAATTTTACTAGAAAATATAATGATAATTTATTTTAATTAAAAGATATGTAAAGACAAACAAAAAATTTATCAGTCTGTTTTTTTTTTATTATGATAGTTTATCATAACTGGCATTCTCATCAATTTTGAAGTTTTGTTTGTCAATCAGTATATCGATTTTCAATAAAAGACGAGCAAGATCAAAAGTTCTGGTTTTAAATATTGGCCCGTTAATTTTCTCAATTCTATATAAATTTTATGTATATAAAAGCAAATTTAAAGTATATTACAATTGTTTTTTTTTTTTTTTTTTAGATTTATTGGTGAACCTTGGAATGTTAACCGAACCTATCATGCATGAATGTATAAGGAGACTCATTTCTCAAGGAGATGAAGTATCACTTGAGTGTTTGCGTCAATTGCTGAATACGATAGATAAAGAATTAGATGATCGAAAAGTTAAAGGTTCAAAAGATAGTGTAAGTGTTCTTTGTCTTCATTTTGATCTGTGCTTTTACTTGTAATAAAATATGAGAAAAAGTATTCTTGTAAATAATATAAGTTTAAAAAGACAACTTATCTTCAAATTAAAAAAAGTTTTTTTTGTTGAAAAAGCTTATTAAACACATTACTTTCTGATTCATAGAACAATAGACCTTTATACAGATTAGTTCTTGTCGATTCTGAATTCTTTGTCGAAAAAGTGTATGTATTGGTGTTATCTGATTTAAATGTGGAAAAAATGAAAAAAACTTAGATATTAGCAAGTAACTAGTAAGTCAGAATGATATATATCAAAACCACCTGAGATTGCCTAATCCTATTTGGACTGTTTCCAATAATTAGTAGGGATTTATTGGATTTTAGCATTTTCGTTATTATTTACTTAAGTAATAATTTGCAATATGTATAATGTTTTTTATTATTCATTATTTGTGAGGATTTCATAAATATAAGTTCTGTATCGTTGTAAGTACGAGAAATTATTATAATAATACCTTTATGAATTGCAACACAATATGCACATTCAAGTCTGCTTAAATTAAATTTTAAAGAATAATCGCCATGCTTTCTACTGTAATCAATGCTATTGTGACATACCTTTCTAATAGTACCGAATTTCATATTGTATGTTTTATAAGTTTTATGGTAATTTTCAGTTACTTTTTATTGATAATGAAAAATTTTGCTTCATAATATTGTTGCCTTGAATCAAAGTATCGTATTTAAAAACTGAGATAAATGAAAGGTGATATTACTAGAGATAGCTGAGTGCTGCATTTTTAAGAGGTACTTATTTTTTGTTTTTTAAAAGGCTTCATAAGGGGCATTTTTTCATAAGGTGTTTGCAAGGTGCAGTGTCGATTTCTGTTATAAACCGTTGAAATTTTTGTTTATCATGCGAGCCAACTAAACATTATGAGTTTTTCCCCTTAGTCCTTTGCAAAGAACTAGTTAATATACGTAGATAATGTTAACTCTTGGAAATTATTTTTTTCATTTTGTTTATTTTTTGCATACCTAAGAACTTTCGACAAAAGAAAAAATTATTTCTTATTCAGATTTTTTTTTAAGTACTTAAAAAAAGTTTTGGTTGTTAAAAAGGTGAAAATTACAGCTTAATTTTAAAATATTTCAGGTTGAATTTTTTCTTACCTAATTCAACTTAATATGGGTTTGAATAACTTTACAATTAATAAATATCTTTCTGATGATCTTGTTAAAATAGTAATTATTTATATTTTGGATTTTGCTATCCTATATTACTATATTTAATATGATGCAAAAAATTTTACTCATGAGAATTCTAAGATTTATCCTATTGATTTAAATTACCAACAATGAGTTTAAATTGTTTGCTTCAATTTTTACCAAAAGGAATTATATAAACTGGTGTGTTTGATTTTCATAATCTGTTATTGATGTAATATTTATTGTAATTAAACATATTTTAGCATATTTTTTCTTATTTTAAACCCATATTTTGGGAATCTCTCTTTTTCAGATGGAAAATTATTTCTTACAAATGCAAAAGATAGTAGACAAACGTTTAACTAGCTCTAGGGACAGGTTAATGTTGCAAGATATTATAGATTTAAAAAGGGTAAGTCATCAAATACTAGACCCTATCAAATAACTATACTTTAAGTTTTGTTTGAGGTTCAAAATTTAGCATTTAAATTTGTTTTTGTCTTTTAGAATGATTGAGTTCTACGGAACATGTCCTTCCAAAACAGGGTACCTGATCACCGAGACAGAAGAAAAAACACTGGTGTGTATATGTGATCATTCCTTAATACGTCAGATGTGGGACCAAACACAATCTCATTCTGCTTTATTTTGTTATTATTTTTTTAATTTTGCGTGTGTTTTTTTAAGCAATTTATTTTAGCTAAATTATAGGCATTAAACAATTTTCCTGTGCCTTATTTTCCATCTTTTTTGTTTAGCTCGAAACATGGGAACAACATGGACGTCTTCTACAGAAAGTAGTAAAGGCAGCTATAGTCTTGTTGATCCTACTAAATTAAAACTGACTAAAGTAAGTTTGTTTTCTTAATAGCACATTAGTTACTTTACAAATCAAGTGATAATGTGTTTACTTCTACTACCCATTCATGATGTCCTTGCTAAACTGGTGGTTTTCATATTTAGTTACTTATTCTTAAAATCTAATGAATGTACTTTTTTCCCTATCATATCTGATTTGTAGTCGTGTGACAGCTTAGAAATAATTTAGTGATGTGCTACTTTTAAAATGGAGTTTATGTTTAATCTGTGAATAACTCCATGGTTCTGGTTCTCTCTCTGTGTGTGTGTGCGCGTGCGTGCGTGTGTGTGTGTGAGTGAGTGAGTGATATATATATATATATATATATATATATATATATAATNTGTCAAGCATACTTTTAAATGATACATGAGTGATTACTTTTTTAAAAGAATGCACAAAACAGTACAATGTACAAGAAAGAAAGCTTATGTAAGGAGCATAAGTATTTCCTGATTGTGGACAATTCTTTTTATTGAAATATCATCTTTATTGAATATCATCTTGAAGTAAAAATGAATAGAAAGAATAATAAGAAAATTACAAGCATTATTATTTCAAAAAATAAAAATACCTTCATTTAAAAAACCCTGACACAGACTTAGATCGTTATTGAGTAAGTGTACATATCTCAATAAATCTATTTGTTACTATTTTTTTAGCATAATGATCTGTGTTAACCCTGAATTTAAATGTTACAAAACATTATAATTAGGGAAGAGTCAAAACTCTTTTTTTGGACACAGATTTAATATTGCCAATGCTTTAATATAGTTAAAACATAATTCTTGAAACAGATTCTATATTATAAGGTAAGATTGAAAGTCTACAAATCTTTTTAGCATTTTATGATTAAAGAAAAATTGGTAGAGATTTAAGTTGCAATTTTAAATACACTCATTATTCATTTTCTGCAATAAATAAATACACCAATGTGTTTCAAATTGTTACTATACATTTTTAGATGTCTTGAAAGTTAAGTTTAATATCATCAATGGTTATTTCATTTGATTGTCAAAAGAAAAGTTCCAAGTATGAAAATAATTAGCAACCCAAAATTACCTCAAAAATTACAAACCATTATAAGTAATTTTAATTTAAAATGACAGCCTTTCCATGTTCAAAAAACACTAGTACATAAAAACAAAGATTGCAAGACAAAAAAAAAAAAAAACTAANNTTAAAAAATGAAAAAAAAAAAAAAAAAAAAAAAAATATTGCAATATTTTCAGCAAATATATTATTTTTACTAAATTATATACCTGAATAAAATAAAATGATCGGAAAATAATGAATGGTGAATACCAAAATGAGAATCACAAAGTTTCATTCAGGTTATAATTTATATATTAAAGCAATATTATTTATTTTTTACAATAAGCTGCATTTTTTACTACTGCAAATACTTCACATTTTTACAATTGCAAAGTTAGTTGGCAAATAAAAATTTATTACGTATGATTTATTCATTCCCTGTAACAATTTCCCTCAATGTAACTTTTTAATATTTGTAATAAATTTAAGTGTTAATACTTTCTGTACCTAATTAATTGACTAAGATATATGTTCAAACACTTTAAGTCACAACCAAAGAGTCAATTCAATCTACCTACATTTATCTACTGACATATACTGCCTACAGATAAAACAAAAATACATATAAATGTTAGTCTATTGAGTCGTATTTCATGAAATGGTATATGGTAGTCTCAAGACTATGTTTCTACCTGGCCAGTTTAATCCTGTCATTACAATACAGAAGTAAACTAGGTTATGATAGCCAAGATTTGCACAAACACTAAACATGTGATTTGGAAGAATATGGAACAAAGGACAGAAATAACTTTAAACTAATCTAGGTACTTTTTCATTTCGCCAACACGANAACAAAAATACATATAAATGTTAGTCTATTGAGTCGTATTTCATGAAATGGTATATGGTAGTCTCAAGACTATGTTTCTACCTGGCCAGTTTAATCCTGTCATTACAATACAGAAGTAAACTGGGTTATGATAGCCAAGATTTGCACAAACACTAAACATGTGATTTGGAAGAATATGGAACAAAGGACAGAAATAACTTTAAACTAATCTAGGTACTTTTTCATTTCGCCAACACGAGTAATTTTGGCTAATTTATCTATTATTTGTTTTTTTTTAAGTCACTTATAAATAATAAAAAAACAGTTGAATTTACTTGCACTCATTAAGTTTCAATTAGTGACTTTATTGCCTGCTCCGGCAAAATGGAAAATTACCCTAATTTATTTAACAACTAACTGAAATCAGAAAATCAATAAAGCAAAAAATATATTCCAAAATTCCATGAAGTTAAGAACAAAGCAAAAAATTAAAAACAAGGAAAGCAAATAGCTAGAAGAGCAAATTACACAATTCCTNAACTAACTGAAATCAAAAAACCAATAACGCAAAATATATATTCCAAAATTCCATGAAGTTAAGAACAAAGCAAAAAATTAAAAACAAGGAAAGCAAATAGCTAGAAGAGCAAATTACACAATTCCTGCTCATCTTAAACATCTATGTGGGTTTGTCAGGCACGAGCACTTCTTTAGGACATTTGTGTCAAAAGGCTAAATAATACTAGTTTCTCAAGACAGTGCTCCGTCGAAAAAGGCTTCTATTGTTATGAGCTGCAGCAAAATTTGGTCTTTGAAATCGTGAGTGAGGGACTGTTAAAGCAGAGACAGATACTGCTCATTTTCACCTCGTATTTTATGCAAATTGGAACAGAGTCCTATCGATATTGGCTCTCATTGCTACCGTGTTACTAACAATATTAAAACTTAAATAAATTATTAAAAAATTATCATTAGCCACCTTTCATTTAATTTTTGTAGTCTCTAGGATATTTTTATTGTGTTTTTAACTTTTATTTTTTCTACTTTTTTCGATGAATTGCTACTTGTAATGAAACTTTTCATAAAGAATAATTGAATTAATTATTAAAAAAAATATCCATTAGCCATCAATTAAATTGTTTGGTTCATCTTTCTGACATTTTTGTTTTATTATTCTTTGGTTACAAGTTTGTTTACCTGAATTCTTACTAATGAAACCTTTTTTTGTCTAACTTTTATTAGTAATATTTTAAAATTATGATTTTAAAGTTTTACCAAGATAACAAAAAATTTGGTTTTTCATTTTAAGCACAAAAAATGCTCTTTTTTTAAACACCATTAAATGTATGTTAAATTTTAACGTTTCAGAAGGTTTTTATTATTTAATAAAAATCAAATTTATTTTAAAATATATGTGCATGTTTTTTTAAAATTATTTAAAAAAATATGTTTATCAGAGCTTTTTTAATAATAAAATATCTTTTGGTATAACAGTTATAATCAATTTTATGGGAAAAAATACTGCTTATTGATTTGCGGAACATGCTTGAAAATCCAATAATCAGGATTACATGTAAAGAGAAGAGTAATAGCAAAAAATCTAAAAAATAACGAAGCTTTTTCTATTTTAAGGTAGGAAGTAACTAATTGAGTACGCAAAATTAAAGTTTCTAATAATATGTACACTTTGGTTACGAATACTTGAATCAAAGAATTGATATAAAAGGGGATATTTTCGTATCCTGATCTGTAGCGCCAACTACAATTGCTAAAGTGCCAAATAGATTTTAAAAATTTCAAATTTAAAAATAAACAAAACATGTAGANACATCACCATTCAGAAGATACTATTCTGCTTCCTCAAAGCAAATTACAAACAAGTAATTTGTTTTGATAACTTAATTTTAATAACAAAATAAAATATTATTAGCAAATTACATAGAAATGATAAATATAAAATTACAAAAGATAATTAAAAGAAAACTAAGGTATTGGTAAAAAACTATCATTTACAATAAAATATCCTTTTATATTTTTAGTCTAAGATAAATCATAATACAAGACAAAACAATATTAAATATTTTCCCTATTTTAAACAAATTTATGTAAAAATTTACCTCTGCTCAATACCAACTTGAACATCATAGAATGCTTTGAGTATAAAAAGGAGAGTCAATTTTATGGCATCAGATGTAGTATTATTAAGAGGAGCAGCTCAAAACTGAAATTGAAAAATTTTGAGTGTCAAACATACTTTTAAATGATACATGAGTGATTACTTTCTTTAAAAAAATGCACAAAACAGTACAATGTACAAGAAAGAAAGCTTATGTAAGGAGCATAAGTATTTCTCGATTGTGGAATATTCTTTTTATTGAAATATCATCTTTATTGAATATCATCTGAAAGTAAAAATGAAGAGAAAGAATGATAAGAAAATTACAAGCATTATTATTTCAAAAAATAAAAATACCTTCATTTAAAAAACCCTGACACAGACTTAGATCGTTATTGAGTAAGCGTACATATCTCAACAAATCTATTCGTTACTATTTTTTTAGCATAATGATCTGTGTTAACCCTGAATTTAAATGTTACAAAACATTATAATTAGAGAAGAGTCAAAACTTTTTTTTTGGACACAGATTTAATATTGTCAATGCTTTAATATAGTTAAAACATAATTCTTGAAACAGATTCTATATTATAAGGTAAGATTCGAAGTCTACAAATCTGTTTAACATTTTATGATTAAAGAAAAAGTGGTAGAGATTTAAGTTGCCTTTTTGAAATAAAATAATTTTAAATACACTCATTATTCATTTTCTGCAATAAATAAATACACCTATGTGTTCAAATTGTTACTATACATTTTAGATGTCTTGAAAGTTATGTTTAATATCATCAATGGTTATTTCATTTGATTGTCAAAAGAAAGGTTCAAAGCATGAAAATAATTAGCAACCCAAAATTACCTCAAAAATTACAAACCATTATAAGTAATTTTAATTTAAAATGACAGCCTTTCCATGTTCAAAAAGTACTAGTACATAAAAACAAGGATTGCAAGACAAAAAAAAAATATTGCAATATTTTTAGCAAATATATAACATCAAACATATTATTT